CTACTAAAAATACAAAAATTAGCTGGGCATGGTGGTGTGTGCTTGTAGTTCCAGCTACTCGGGAGGCTGAGACAGGAGAATTGCTTGACTACAGGAGGTGGACGTCGCAGTGAGCTGAGATTGTGCTGTTGCAATCCAGCCTGGTGACAGAGTGAGACACCATCTCAAAAAAAATAAATAAAAATAGGCCTGAGGGCCAAAATAATATAGTACTTTTACTCAGCTGTGGAAGTTCAGGATGTTTTCTATGGCCAAAATTCTCTCAAAAACATTAAAATCGTTTGTTTTAAAAACTACAGGGAATAAAATATTAAGTGAAGCAAGAAAGTGGCAAAGGTCCAGAATCTGAAGTTATTAGGACTAAGTAAAACTATGAATTCTAGTAAACAGTATCTTCCAACCTCATAGTTCACAAATAGGATTCTCTACCATTTATAGTAGTGATGTGGATTTTTTCCTCTTTGCATTCAGACGGTATTACATGTGAATCTGTGCACGTCCTATGCCAAGAACTTAATGAATAAGTAGTAGTTGTTCGCTCTATTAGCAAGCCATTGGTTATAGTGTTTAGGAGCTGTATTTCCTAGGACTGCTGTAATAAACTCATAAAAAGTGGGTGGCATAAAACAACAGAAATTGATTCTGTCACAGTTCTGGAGGCCAGAAGTTAGAAATCAAGGTGTCAGCAGGTTCACACTTCCTGAGAAAGCTCCAGGGGAGAAGCTGTTTGTTGTCTCTTCTTTTTGCTTCTGGTGGCTTCAGGTGCTCCTTGGCTTTTGGTCCATTGTTCTAGTCTTTGCCTCTGTGGTCACATTCCCCATCTTTTTCTATGTGTATTCGGATTATAAGGACATTTGTAATTGGATTTAGGCTTACCCAGATGATCCTCCAGGGGAAGTCCCTCTTCTCAGAATCGGTAATCATTAATCACATGTGTTGCCGTAGAAGGTAATATTCTCTTTCACAATAAGGTAATATCCACAGGTTCCTGGGATTACAGTGTATATGTCATTTGAGGGTCCTCCAGTCAGCTCACTATCAGAAGTCAGTATACCAGAATCCTTGTTTGGAAATTATTTTGGTATTGTTAACAGCATACTTAAACATAGTTATAGCTTCCTGCCAGAGTGTGCCAAAGAAGTGGAAGCACCCATTAAGGTATATATAAAGTGGGAGAGGTTGGGTTGGAAGTCTTAACCAGTTGGGACTGCAATGCTTGCTAAAGGTTTATCATGATGTTACATTACATTTTGGATGTATATTGGTGGGTGTCCATAGAACAATTTCTTTGGGATACTTGGCACATCATAAATGCTGCTTTTTTGACAAGACTTTCCATTATAACCAGGCAGTATTTTAAAATTAGTTGAAACTTGTGGACCATAAACATAAAAGTAGAATGCAATTTGGGTTTAATGCATCAGGTATAAACTTAGGTGTAAATTCTGTGTTTAAAATAAAAGATTGACTTTTAGCAGTCCACCTTAAAATGATTGGTGGAAGGGAGGGTACCTTGTTTTGAGTACTTAGCCTCATAAAAGCTAGGACTTTGTCCATATTTTAGAACAGCCTGAGAACATGTGCCTTATCTGAACTCTCACTGCCTCAACTTAGGAGTTAGAGATGAAAGTGTTCAGTTCTTTTTTGACCAGCTAAGCGAGAGATTGCGTTGGGAGCCCCTAGGCTGCAGGAACAATTCTACCCTTTACTTTGTTTTGTTCGTACCGTTCGAGGTTCTGCTTTAAGGAAATATTTAGCACCCTCCAGATGTTTAGGGGGCACCTGAAATCTGGTGTAATACTGGAATAAAGCTCTATGAAGTTAGAGACCTTTTTTTTTTTTGGGGGGGGGGTCCAGCCTCTGTAACAAATTAATAATGAATGCATTCTGAGCATCTTCTCAGAAAGTTCATGTTATAGATGAAAAATGACAAGAAAATAGATTGAGGAGCCTTCACTGAAAGTTTGAGATCTGCTTCTGGCCTAGTATGACAGTATCATTGTTGATTAACCGAATCAATTCACAACTATTTAAAAAGTTTGTGAGAATACTACTTTTTTAAGCAAGAAGGGATTTTTTACTTTAAAATTTTTCTTCTATGTGAGTGAGTATATCACTATCTTAGTATACTATGTTATGTTTAAGAGATGCATAATACATTTATTTTTAAATAGCTTTTTGGCAACTAGAAGTCCTGCTATAGATCATGGAAAATATTTTTAAAAAATTAAAATTTGCTTAATAAAAAAGATATGATTTACGTAATGATGTTTTTGTGTCTTTCATCTCAGAATGTACATAGAGGGAAATCATGCTTAGAAATGAAAATTTGATTTGTTTTAATTTCACATTTTTTGAATAAGTGTATTCAGTACTATTTAAAAATAAAAAATAGTGTTACTCCATGTTTTCTTTTATATTTTTCAAATGAATTTGATTCATTTTATCTTTGGCATAAATATTAGACTATGATTATTTAGCTTGACAGAATTACAGCATATTGTGCCAGTATAAATCTCTTTTTTCTGTACAACAACATTTGAAATCTGAGTTTGTCATTAATTGGAGAATTAATACCTAATGATTTTGAATTTTTATAGGAATAAATGAAAAAATAAGAGCAGGTAAGAAATGAATTATTTTTCAACATGGGAATTGTATATTAGGCGTTCTAGTTTTATAAATTTGGCTTATTAAGTCATGTGCTTATTAATAATACTAGGGCCATATTTTTTCAGTAAAATGAAGAGGAGCATCACTTTTTTTCCCTTTTAGCTTTAAATTTATATTTTGCTCTTACGTGGAAGATACTGATCTACATATCCTCTGTGTATTCATTTGTTTAATAAACCATGCTTCAGTATTAAGTGGTAGGCACCAGCCTGGGCGTGTGGAGTATTATCGCTCCAAGGAGAAGAACTGACAGTATATGCTGGCTCTGATGGAAATGGAGCGTTCAAGCAAAGACCGAATTTGTGGAGACAGATCTGTCCTCATGAACTTGTCAGCTTTCTAGTGTTTACTTTTTTCTTGAGAATGATATTGATAGCAAATGTGATTGTACAATGAAATGTGTTAGCATTAGGAAGATCAGCATAGCACGATAAGCCAGTGTTTTCTGTGTGACCAATGCATAATGTTATAAAATTATATGTACAGTGTTAAAGATTCAAAGTCTGGTATAGATCAATGAATTTTCACATATGGTACAGAAAGTTCATTGATAAAGTTTCAAATTCTGCATTGCAACTAACCTTTTAGAAACTATCCCGTGTTGAATTCTGGTATAGTATCAAAGAATGATATCCATAACTATCTGAATATTTTCCCCTTTTTCAGCTTCATACCTGTTTGAGCCAGATTTTTTTCCCCTAAATTTCAGTACAACATACCACAACAGTTTGAAGGCAGGAACAGCTAAGAAAATTCAGCTGTCTTCTATTAAGCCAAATATTAAATAGATTTGTAAAAATGCAAAGCAGTGCTGGTCTTTGCAATTTTTTTTAAAGAAAATAGTGATTTTTTAAAAATAAAAATATATTATTTATAATGAATTTATTGTTGTTTTCAAATGAACTAAAAAATAAAATTCTGTTTTCAATTTTGAATACAGTAAACAGATAAAAATCTACGTGATCAAATTTGTTGGTGTTCTAAGTAATATTTAAGGATATAAAGAGTTTCTAAGATAAGTTTAAGAATTGCTGATTCAGAGAAATGATTTGATACCTGAAATACATGTTGGGGTGAGGTAAAAGATTTGGACTACATTTTGGTAAGAGACTGGACTTTACAGTAAGCAGTAAGGAGTCACAGAATATTTTGAGCACAAAAGGAGAAAATTAAAGTGGTACACACATGATTAATCTGGAGGTGATAGATGCATGAGGATGGAAGTGGGGAGTGAGTGGAGTGCGGAAAAACAGCATTAACAGAAGAGTAGATATAATGCACTAAGGGTTCGATTTAGACTGAGCTGAATCAGAGAGACTTGTTATGACCATATTGACCTAACTTATGGATAGGATAAGGAGGGGAACCATCAGGTGTTAGGTTTGAGTTTGGGTTACAAGAAGAAGCTGATTTGTAGGGAAAGTTGAAGTCTTTTCAGTTTTTTTGTAATTCTCTGCCTAAGCATTTGAGATTTAATCACCAGGTAGAAATAACCAGTAGAAAATTGAATCAAGACCAGATAGCTTTCTATCTCTTGTAGCATCATGGAGCACCTCTGTTGCTTAAAATTAAGAGTTGTCCTTTAGTAGGTAAGCAAATGGCAATGTGGTTGCTAAAAACATGCGTTTTGATATTAGGCTAGGTGACAGCTTAAATTCTAATAAAGTGTACATTTATTGACTATTATGTGCTTGGCACTGTACCATATATTCTTAACAGTTACTACTTCATGTATGTGTGAGTTTTTGTGTGGGGTGAAAGCCCTGTTAACCCATGTTCTTTTGTTTTATGAACAGCATTGCAAAAAGAGTATTTTTCTGTGAAGAACAAAATGTTACTTTAAAAAGTTGCAGTCAAGATTTATTAATGAAAGTAGACTTTTCCCTTTGGAAAAGAAAAGACACAATTAGTGGAAGAAAAACATCTATTTCTTGCCCTTCTTATGATAAGTGTTTTTAATGGAAATTCATTGATACTGTGTGGATGATTTACCAAGGCTTTTTAAAACGGCTGAAAATATGCTCTCACAACCATCTGATAAAATGAAAAACTGCACAAAATGTGTACTCAGATGATTCTCTGAAGGAATAATGGTGCAAATGAATTATCAAAGTGTGAAATCATTAAAAACAAAACATGTTTGGGTTTATATTGAATCTTAATTGTAGGCTTATGTATTTTCTTTGTAAGCTAAGTTAAAAGAAAATTGCATAACTAAATTTTTGAAGGCCAGTGTTGTAGGACATATATTGTACCATAATTTATTTTTTGCATAAAAGCTGCTGTTCATTTTTTTCAGCATTAACATGCGTGCTTTCCTCATGTAGGAGAATATATAAAAAACTGGAGGCCAAGATATTTCCTTTTGAAGACAGATGGCTCATTCATAGGATATAAAGAGAAACCTCAAGATGTGGATTTACCGTATCCCCTCAACAACTTTTCAGTGGCAAGTAAGTTAATTATAATTGTTGATTCACCTTGTATTTATTTTTATGATTTTATGTGTCAGATAACTTAGGATATATGAGAAGCCTATGAAAAAGTTTGGGTTTATATGTAATAGAGAAATGTTCAGCTTTGATAGAATTTTAATTTCTAAGCATAGTGATTATTGATAATATATGGTCTTATGCAGTGTAATAGGTTTCAATATTTTTATTTAGAACTTGAATGTGATACAGTTCCCCAAATATGTACCTCAGTATTTTCTTTATAAAATAAAAACAAGGGCCTTTGAACGTGGTTGTTAGATTAAGCATGGTTATGAGATGTTGTGGTACTTAATGCATTTTAATCAGTTTCTTTTCACAGTCTTAGCTCTTTTGATTATTTGATGAGAAACAGGTGATTTACATTAGAAATCATCTTCTGGGGAGATTTTATGTTTGTAGTTAAATTTTTCTTCCTTACAAATACCTAATAGAAATCTTTAAAACTTACTTAGAAATTTGTATTTGCTTGAACATAGCAAGAAATAAAGTGAAAGAAGACAATGATGATAATGATAATGATTATTGTTACTACTAGGCACTTCCGACTTCTTAAATTTACTGATTTTAATCAATGAGAGAATCTTTCTGTGTTAATTTAGAAGCAAAGTGTTTTATGTTAAATGAAACATATTTAAGATCTAGCTAGTCTGTATTATTAAGCTAAAATATTTAATGAGACAACATCCTTAATTTTGATTTTGGTCATATGTTATCTGTAAGCCACATTTGGGAAAAAAGATATAAGGGAAATTTGAAGCTAAAAAAATGCAACAATAAAAATTCAAGAAAATAAAAGCCTTTGAATGATAAAATTTCATTTTACTATTATAAAAGCTCCAATCCTTTTATACTCCTATTGTTTTGTTCAGGTTAGCCCTTGTTAATGGACTAGAATGGCTATTTTTTTTTTTTTTTTTTTTTTTTAAGAAAAAGCTAAAACAATAAACCAAAGTATTAAAAGATTTGTGAAGTCATTTGAATGATAAGGATACTAACTTTAAAAAAAAGCTTTCTGTGTTTATATCAGTGGATTCTTATATAGATATTTTTAAAATGAGATCACTATAAAGTATGTGTATTAAGGAAAACATCTTTTTTTTCCACCAAAATGCTTATTAGATAATAATGGCTTTCTTTCAGTAGAAAATTATTTCTTAAATCCTATTGTCTACTGAAATAATATCTTGTATTTTGTATTGACTTAAGAACACATTTTCATTTTAAAAGACTTTTTGGGTGAACATTTACTTTAAAGTGATAGAGATTAGCTTTTAGAACATAAGCAGCATATATTATCTAAATGCCCTACCTAAAGCCAGTGTAGCTTTTTAGTTTATCCATTTGACTAGCAAATGTTACTGGTTTTTCAGAAATAATTTATGAAAGTACAGAATTCCTGTATCTGCTGATCAAAATGCAGCATTTTTTGACCTTATGAAATTTCACACCCCAACGAGTTTTAAAGACATACTGTATGTCACAGTCTGCCAACATCTGCTCCAACACTTCCACTGGCAGAGGCTGAAATAAATGCTGCACTCTAGGGGAAGGATCCTATTTAGTGACTGACAATCAGCTTATTTATCTATGAAATAAATATTATTTGACATCTGTAATCATGTATAATCAAGTAGCTGTAGATAGTTGACTCAAACCAACAAGGAAAGTTATAGATCAGCTCCTTAGTTTTCAGAAGTATTATTAACATGAATCTTAACACTAAATACATTTAAAAAAATTTTTTATTACTAAAACTTGACTTACTGCAGTCTTAAATTCTGTAAATAAGAATCACACGAGGAAATAATGAGTCTAGTGAAATGGCTACGAGTTGAAGAAGAAGTTCAAATTCCAGCTTGGCCACAGGCTGCAAATAATATGACCTTGGGCAGGTCATTCTCTGAAACTCTGATCTTTATTTAGTTTCTTCATCAGCATGTTAGAAATATTTGGATTCAGTGGATTTGTGAGGTCCTTTTCGTCCCTGACATTCTGTGATTCTGTGAGGTGGACTTTGAGCAGGCCCTTGAAGAGTGAGTAGTAGTTAAGCAGATTAGAGGAGAAGGATATTCCAGGCAGAGAGCAGTGAAGAGTGTCTTTGTGAGGAATTAAGGAAGGAACAGTTGGTGCAAGGGAGGGTTACTTCGCTATTGCTTTTCGCTTTTGCCCTAGTCCCCTTTATTACATTTTTAAAAGACAGTTTTACAAGGTATTTCTAAAGTATGTTGGGAAATGTTGTATATATGTATATCCCTTTGGTCACTACCATTTGAGTTCATTATTTTTCTGATAAAGATATTATTTCATATTGAATCGATGTGGGTTTTAATGATATAAGAATAGGCTTTTTATTTATATGGAACAAAAACGGAGTGTAAGAACTGTGAGAACTGTAAGGGGCTTGAGAATTTCCAGTCTTCATTCAATTTTGAATTGCTTCCCCTCTGATTTAAATCTTTCAAAAAGATACTCTTAAACTCATTGTTTTCACTTCTTATCCCACTGCAGTGTGTATTCCTCCCTTATTCACTTGATTTAAACAACTTATAATAAATTCTTGAGTGACCAAGAAAAAAAAAAAACGGAAGAGGATAGAGAATGTGTCCTAAGAAGCCTCTCTAGAATTCTGCTGCTTCTATGCTGCAAATATTGGCCCACCCTGACCAGTATTCTTTTCTTCTCTGAAAGCTTTTTTCAGTCCCTTCTTAAAAAATAGGTCATTCTACGTTTCTAAGCCCAATTTTGAAAGATGATGTGAAATACTTACTCTTTTTTTCTTCTTAATTTTTTTATTGTTTAAGGCAAGATCTCTGTCACCCAGGCTGGAGTGCAGTGGCATGATTATGGCTTACTGCAGCTTCAGCCTCCCAAGTGTAAGTGATCCTCCTACCTCAGCCTCCTGAATTGAGGGGACTACACCTGCATACCACCTCACCTGGCTAATTTTTTTGTACAGACAGGATTTCACCATTTTGTTCAGGCTGATCTCGAACTCCTGGGCTCATCAAGTGATCCCCTTCTTGGCATCCCAAAGTGTTAGGATTATGGGCGTGAGGTACCACACATGGCTAAAATACTTACTCTATAACTGACTTTTCTTTCTCTCTCTTTGAAAGTAGGGAAATTATGGGACTTAAACCTACCAACGAACATCTTTATCTCATTCCAGCTACTCACATGGCTAAGGTGGGAGGATCATTTGAAGACTAGAGTTTGAGACCAGCCTGGGCAACACAGAGAGACCCTGTCTCTTTAAAAAAAAAAAAAAAAAAAAATCTTTGAACAAATACTATATACAGATTTTAAATATGTAGAAAAATCAATTTTTTTCTATTGATACTTCTAGTGGTGGACATACATGGGGATAGAGAAAGAGCTTATGACTTGATTCTTAGTTGTATATAACAGGTAATACAACCTGGAATCATAATCTTGTAATTCTAGAAAAACTATATATAAATATATACTGTATAAATGTACATGAATGACAGATCAGAATAATTCACTTTTGAAGTATTGATTAATCATTATAAACCCATACCTGATAGTGAAAGGAGTATATAATACAATTTTTATATGTAAGAATTTGTCATTGACTAAGGAAGACATTCACATAGAACATACAGCAGTGGGAGGAAAAATGGGATGAATTGCCAAAATGAATTCTGTAGAAGGTAGCTCCTGTAGAAGCTGAGAGAATTAATAGGTAAGTGTTAGCAAGGGTGACTAAGAGTTCACTCTTGAGATGAGGTTAACATGAGCTCTGAAGAAAAGGGTTTGATTAAGATTTTGGAAGACAGAGGACATTCTCAGTGAGATTAACAACATAAGCAAACAAATGAAGGCAAGTATTAAGGAGTAGCTTGTTTTGTTAATGGTATAGGCAATATCCTAGATGGATGGAAAATTTATATTAGAGGAAAAAAGCTCAGAGAGTTAGTAATCAGATTATGGAAAGCCTTGAATAAGCCTTGAATATCAGTATGATGAAGTTTTTAAACATTAGTTTCCAAATCAGTATTCATTTTTTTTTTTAAAGGGCCTCTTTATAGTGTGCAGTGGAGGGGTTACATCCTTAGACAAACAGGCCATGAGTCAGTCAGCAAGCTGTTGTTTAGTCCTCATCCTTTTCAGTCTCACTGCTACCATCCTAGCTCAGTTCTTCATCAGTTCCTTTCTGTATTATGTTTAGCCTCCTAATCAGTCTGTTAACCTTCAAATATTATCTTTTCTGGAATATTTGGAAGCAATATGTAGGATAGATTCATCTTCAAAAAAAAGTTTCTTTGCAAATACTATGTCCTTGCTTAGAGAAATGTCAGATGATCTTCATTTTTCACGAGAAGCTGCTGAATTATTTTTTAATGTATATCTACAATTAAACACTTGCCAAAATAATAACTATGTTTATACCCTGTATCTTTTCATTCTGTTACTCCTTAATGTTCTATACATTTTGTTTTTGACATACATTTGCTATATTCTGGTCAGGTTTAATTGCATACAAGATTTCTAACCCTGTGTTTGTTTTTAATGATTTTTAGATCATTTAATTATTTGATCACTTGAAGTTTTGGTGTTTTCTTTTTTTTCTTGATGTCCTTTCTTTAAACTTTTTAAATTGATACATATTAGGTGTACATACTTTTGGGTACATGTGATTATTTGGTACATTCATTTAATGAAAATCAAGGTAATAGATAAATCTGTCACCTTAGATATTTGTCTTTCTTTATGCTATCTTATTTTTAGACAAATGGAAAGTTACATCTGCTAATAGGTTTATCTCACTGTAAGGAATAGCTGCCTTATTTTAAAATGTAAATTACCATAAATTTAATCAAATTTTGCTTCTTGCCTCTGTTTTCGTAGGTGGTGTTATGTTCTTATATTTGCAGAATTTAACCTTAAACCAAGTTTAGAATTGGGAATGGAGAAAACCTTTGTAAAAACTATTT